TGAAGGAAAGCATTTAATTGGGTCTGGCTTACAGTTTAAGATGTTTAGTCATGGCAGGAAACATGGTGGCAGACATGGTGATGGAGAAGGAGCTAAGAGGAGTCCTCCATTTTGTGCAGAGCTTGGATAGCCATTCAAACATGGGTGACTGCGACCTTAATAACAGAATTCTCCAACAATGGTTCATAGGTGTGTTCACTCAATATTTTAGTCACTATTCTATTGCTATGAAGAGCCATCATGACCAAGGCCACCAAGCCCACCCTCCAGTGACACACTTTTTTCAACAAGGCTGTACCTATTCCAACAAGGTCCCACTTCCTAATCCTTCTAATCCTTTCAAAGAAGGTCCACTCCCTGGTGACAAAGCATTCAAATAAAGAATTCAAGAAGTGGAGTAAGCAACCATATGAGCCTATGGAGGCCATTCTTATTCAAACCACCACTCAGAGACAATGTATCCTGTAGTTTGGGAACTTTTCTGTAAGTGATGTCAATTGACAATGTAAGTTTAAAATTTTTTTAATTAATATTTCTTATCATACATGTTACAGGATATTTGATCACACTCTGAACACCTATATTGTCCAATTTACTGGAGAAACCTGTTTCTAACTATGGTGTGGCTCAGCCCTAACACACACATTTAATCCAAGACCTTTCGGTTTATTGTAAACAGGATTAAAGTCACCATAGGTTAAGAAGTGGAGTAATCAACCAGGTGACAGGAAGTTGATCAGCAAAAAAAAAGAGAGGAAGAGGAAGTCAGGTGAACAAATAACAAGTGGCAGGTAGATAAATGCATCAGATAAAACATCACTAAATTAGAAGCTTGTGATACCCAGTAGAGTGGACAGGAATAGGCTGGATTAAACTCTACTCTTACAGTCATTCAACAGCAATTGGCTAGGGAAGTGCAGTGAGAAGCCACCTGGAGTTCCTGATTAAGCGCTCTCCCCAAAGATGAGCTTCCAGTCTCCTGTTCATACTGCAGGCATTTTTATACCACGGATAATTAATAATGAGTCCTATTGGAGATAGTTTAGCTTTTGACTTTCCCAAAGGGTATGTTTAATACCCACAGGTGCTTCAGTCTTTCCCTTTCCCTAACACAGAGGCAGCCTGAAACAGGGCAGATTTTAGAGGGAAAAAAAGGGAAGTGCCTCACCAATGTCATATCCTAGTGAAATCTAGGGGACTATTAGAGAATACTTTGAAAGCTACATTTCGAAAAAACAGAAAATCTAGAAGAAATTAATAAGCTCCTAAACATATATGTCAAGAAGGCATAAACTACTTAGCTGTATAACAAGCAATGATATTGAAGCTATAATAAGGAATATCCTAATATAGAAAAGCCAGGTGTCTAAAGAACTAATGCTAATCCTCCTTAAACTAGCCCAAAGGGGGAAGGAACACTACCAAGCTCATTCTATGAAGCCAGCATTATTGTGATTTAAACCCAGATAATCACAGCAAGAAAACCCTACAGACCAATTTCCCTGGTGAAGATAGATGTGAATTTTCTTTCTTTTTTTTCAAAGATTTATTTATTTATTTTATGTATGTGAGTACAATGTCACTCTCTTCAGACACACCAGAAGAAGGCATCAGATCTCATTGTAGATGGTTGTGAGCCACCATGTGGCTGCTGGGAATTGAACTCAAGACCTCTGCTCTTAACCACTGAGCCATCTCTCCAGCCCCAGATGTGAATTTTCTTAATAAAATACTTGTATACTGAGTCCAACAACACATTTAAAAGATTATATACTATGATTGAGTTGTTTTCATGCCATGGTTGCCAAGATGGCTCAACAATGTACAAATCAAAGAATGTAACATAGCATGTACAGAAATAATACAGTTATTTCAAGACATGCAGAAAGAGCAAAAAGAACAAAGTTCATCATCCCTTCATGATATCTATCTATAAATATCTAACATTATATTAAATATAAAAATGATCATTTTCTCAACAGTATGGGATGAGATAACTGTACCCACTGTCTGTTCTTTGATGTACTGCTCAAAGTCTTAGAGCAACAAAACAAGAAAAAGAAAAGAGAGAGAAATAGAAAAGGAGTTAAGTATGAGGTCTACTCTTGCTTGACTACATCTCAACTAACCCAAAC